TTCTCCTGTTCAAAACATTATACATGGAGTGAAAGGCACAAAAGCCTTCTTATAGAAAAAAATCTTTTATATCTCAAGTAGAGTATTAAATACTCACCTGAAGATGACTCCACAGTCCATTAGTTGGTAGACAGACAGTATAAAAGCAATTCATTTCTAGGTTAATATACATACAGAATTCATAAAAACTAAGGTTCCTAAAATAATTGAATAATTGAAACAAAAATCCACACCTTCAATAACACTAGTTATTAATACTTAGGGTTGTATGAATTATTTTTCTATTCATTAAAATGGATTCTAGGACTCCATTGTGCTTTTGTACTCTATCTTACTCATTTACATATTTAAACTCCATGGAGAGCATACAGGTTAAAACTCAGTACTTTTTCACCCATAATTATGCAGGAAAATTTATACAATACATATTACTTGCATAATATTTCATTAGTGGTTTTCAAATGGCACATTTCCCTGTATCCAAATACTCAGAGTACCCTTGTGCAATGACTTGAAACTTGCCGTTTAACCTGCTTCACATAAGCAGTAAAGATTATGTAAATACAGGTTTGAGAAGTCTCTAATACTCACTTTCCTAAACAATCATATGAAGATGGCCATCCTGATGAAGATAAAAGGCCTAATAAAGATATAACATGAAATACTAGTCATAGTATTAACAGTCCCAACCAACAACCACAGCCAAAGACCCAGAAGATTAAAATCTTAAATTACACAAATAATATTAACACAAAATTCCAAGCTGATGACACACCAAAATGCAGACCAATAAAAATAAACAAATTACATACCTATATGCGTTTTCTTGTATTTTTTGGTTGGCTTATTAAACAGGAAAGGCTACTATCCAGACAGGGATTTTTTTTTAACACAACTGCATGGAATGGAAACTCTTAATATAAAATAGCATGAACTGGGCTGGGAAGGTGGCTCAGTGGTAGAGTGCTTGCCTCGCATGCATGAGGCCCTGGGTTTGATTCCTCAGCACCACATAAGCAGAAAAAGTTGGAAGTGGTGCTGTGGCTCAAGTGGTAGAGTTCTAGCCTTGAGCTGAAGAGCTGAGGGACAGCGACCAGGCCCAGAGTTCAGATCCCACGACCAACAGAAAAAAAAAATAACATGAACTTCATAGTGATATGCATGAAAAATGAAAAAACTACTCTATATTGGGGAGGATTGGGTGGGGATGCAGGGGGAGGATGGGAAGGGATAGGAAGGGGAAACAAAGGAGGAGGCTACAATGCTTGATAAGAAATGTACTCATTATCTTGCCCATGTAATTGGGTGCCCTCTGTACAGTATTTTCACAATAAAAAAATTAAAAAAGAAACTCTACTCTATAAACTTCACTTAGGTCCTTTCTGCTAAGAAACACAATATTAATCATTTAAAAGCAACATCTGCACATTCGTATTGGGTTTTTTCACATCACAAGAATGTTTTCTTACTTTAAAAACTTACAAAGAAATTTTTATACACTAATTATCCATATTCAAATATTCAGGACCAAGAGTGTTGTAGATTTCAGGGTGGGATATTTTCTTTTTGTTTTAGGTTTTGGACTATCCTCCTTAAAATTGAATCATATAATTTTATTAGAAATATAATCTGTATTTAAAAGAGTGTATTGTAATTAGGCTGACTTGGCTTATGATTTTAATGTTAGCTACTCAGAAGTTTGAGATCTGAGCACCACAGACTGAAACCAGCTTGGGCAGAAAAATCTGAGTGACTCTGATCTCCAATAAACTACTAAAAATACCTGGAATTGGAGATGTAGCTTAAATGGTAGAACATTAGGCTGGAACAAAAGAAGCTCAGGATCAGTGTCCAGTGCTTGAGCCTAGGAACCAGGATTAGCACACAAAAATGGGAATTGTAGTGTATTTAAATTCTATTGAACAATTGTTTTGGAATACATATTTCAGCAGTCTCTCATTTTAAGTGATGTAAAATAGGCTCATTATTCTAGTGGAGAAGTTGTAACTAGTCAAGAACAAAAAACTGGAGAATATCCATGCTTGTAATATTTTAAGCTAGGAAAATCCATAGGAAGTGCAAAGGATAAAAGTGATCAAGCTTCACTGACTTCAATTCCCACAAATTTCTTTGAGCAGATTGAGACAAAATGGAGAACACTAGCTAATATTTTGTTATATCTTACATCTACAAAACATACAAACTTGAGCAAGACACAGTACCTCAAGTTCCCTTCTGTAACAATCTGTGACTAACAATTTCTGAACTGCAGGTAAAAACCAACGAGTTAAGGCTACTATCAGTATATCCATAGGTGGGACAATTCAGAGAACATACACTAGAAATGATACTGTGGAAAGGCTGAATAAATTAGTCAGGACTGCTACAGATAATTTCAGTTGTGATCATTATTCCTCCACAAAAAAACCACAGCCCCATGTCCCTTCTGAGAACTAGGCTCTGTCTGATTCCTCAGGCAAGTTCATTTCCCCTCCTAGTAGTTACTGTTAACCTTCCAACAGCACCAAATGACTGGGAGTGTTAGAGGAAAGAGTACCACTTGAGTCTTGTGCTCTAGGAAATAGAACCAATCTTTGCTTAAGGCAAGGAAGCTGAAAACATTTTGCCCTTCCTTTGCCTTTCTGCCTCTGCTCTGTAGAGCTTGTCAGAGTTGACAAAGTAACCTCCTTCAAACATTGGTAGGCTTCATTGCTTAACAGAAATTAAAAAACAGGACCATCACTACTGTAATATCTCATGTGTACCTGTTCCTAGAAAGAAGGTCTTATACAAACACGTGTGAACTAAAGCCAGGAGTGCTAAGAAATCTAACAAGGGAGGAGGAGAGCAGAGACACCTCGAGGAGAAACAACACAGAAACCCAAAATACAACTGCAATATAAATGGAGTCAAATCAGGCACACCCCTCACAATTTTACTACAATTGTTACCATGCTCATCTTACACCTGGGCAAGGTTAATAAAGTCACATGGCTTAACAGCAGTGATTCATAGTCATGGAAATATAAATGCACAATTCCCTGTTTTTTTCTATTCGGGAGAACTACCCAACTTGCTGTCAGAACTTTGCGAGCCAGTTTCTGGCACCTGGAGGCACAAGGGCTGTGGCACACAAACTTTTGAACCCTTAACAATCATCAGCCCCATACTGGAGTAACATGTGGAGGATAGACTCTTTCTTGGTTTCTGCATCCAGCTCATGGTTCCTACCTGACATTGGAGAGAGACCTTCAAGTTACACCTCCCAAGCTCCACTGGAGAGAAAACTTCCAGCAGCAAGGCAACGGGAAAGGAACTGGAATTTGAAGGCTGAAAATACCCACAGTGAATGGGGAGGCACATGCACAGAAAGATCTTTGCTACTTAAAAAAAAAATAGAAACCAAGCACTTTCAGAGCATCTGTGCTGCAAGGGAGACTACATTTCCCACAATGCACTGTGCCACCCTGAAGGAAGTAGGGTTCCACTAGTGCTAGGCCCTAGGTCCCAAGACTGTTTGTTTGCCTATGGACTTTTCTGTCCCACCTGTGGGAGCATAGGAAAGGTTGTTTTTTTTTCATGAAAAAGCACTGTGTTCCTCCTGAATCATTGTTAGACCAACCGAAAAATGGAAATTGTATTGGGATCATGAGATTAAATGGCTTTTTAATTCTTAGTTCTATTATTATAATTGGGGTTGTGAGACTATTTTGATTTTGTTTTTGTTTAACAGATAAGTTCGTTTGAATGTAAATTATGTCCTTCTTTATCTTCTTTAATAGCTCCCTGCTCACTATAAAAAAAGTATTCACAGACACTAAACTGATTCTTGGGTCATTTTCCATGCTCTTATGTATACACAGCAATAAAGTAGCAGACTTGCTAGGTAGATATGCAGCATAATCCTTACACCAATTTAGATTTTTCAAAACCCTAACAATTTCCCAGAAACACCCAAATTCCATCTACGAAATTTTAAGGAGTTTTTGGCTGTTTCCAAATTTTTCCTTTCCTTTAAGGTTTTTTTTTTCTCCTCTTTTCTTTTTGTTATTGGTCCTGTGGCTTGAATTCAGGGACACTATCTTTTCTTTAATAATTTCTCCAGCTAACTAGTGAAAAGCAACCTGTGGGTGAGAAGAGCAGCCTTCAAACATGGTACATCACCACCTTGCTGTTCAGAGATGGTTGTTTGGGCAGATCAGGAGGAATGTGGGTAAGGTGCAAGAGTGAAGCTTGATGGCTTGCCCCAAACCAGTCTTTGTTTTTCTGTTCTGCATACCCTACTTTGGTTTGGATTCCTACCTCTGTTCTGATCCTAGAAGTTCCTCTAGGGAAGTCTAAGCTACCTCATATTTGTCTTCCCTGACATTATCCGTTAGTCTGTGGAATAAATCTTTGTTATCTTAGGTTCTTAGTGTGGGAGCAGTCAGACCCCACTTCTAAAAGCCATGCTTTTGTCCTGACCACTCATAATTGCCACACAGTCAGGAATAGATGGACATCATTTGGGACAAGAGAGTTCTTTTGCTGATAATTCAGCTTCAACAGAGAATTACTAAATCCTCATGAAAATCTCCCTTGGAAATCTTCTCAAAATAAATGTGTAAGCCTAATCTATACAGGCACAGTGGGACACCTATAGTCCAGCAACTTGTAAGGCTGAGCAGGGAGGATCATTCAAGCTCAGGAGATGAAGGCCATTCTGGGTAACATAGGAAGATTGAGTCTCAAAGCAACACAAGTGCAGCATTTCCTTACCAGAGGCTCTGGGTTTGATCCCCAGTACTAGAAAACAATATTAACATAATGCATAACATTTTAAACTAATAATACATCTCTTTTAATGCTGAGTGCAAAATTTCCAATTTTTCTTTCTAATCACCAAACATGAATCTGCAGTTTTATAAAACTGCTAGATGACTATAGAGAAAGAACATGCTTAGTTTCTTAGCTCTGTGAAGAACCATGGGAGTAGAAAACAATTGCAGGGCATTTCTTACCTCATTCCAATGACATCAAAAACATGTTGCCAGTGCTCATTGATTTTGCTAAGCTTGGCATGCATCTTGACAGTTGTCATATTGCTGCTGGCTGTAGCAACTGCTACCCCATTTGCTTCAAGTGGGACTTGATTGCATTGAGGAAGATTCTTTTCTTCATGTAGTCCTACAAGAGGAATTGAAAACAGGAAGCTCCACTATTACCCCAATTCCCTGTTCTTATTTTCAATTCTAACCCCCCAAATGCATTTCTTCTTAACCAACAAATATATGCATGCCTCTTAATGATTTTTGTAATTGAAAAATTCTCATCATATTATGACTTAACACAACTTTACAGGCTAAAAGGTCAAGAAAGACCCTCTAAGCATATTCACGAGGTGTGTTAGTTGTTACTTTCTTAATGCAACAGCCTCTCTAATTTCTCTCCATTCTATCTTACTGGAGAACCTACAAATGGGTGGAACTCAGTTTGATTAACTATAAGAACATTGGTCTTGTTATTTTTATTACATCTGGGGCCTAGTGACCACCTAAAATCATCATGTTCATGGTGGTTGACTCTGCCCTTTGTTAGTAAGTAGAATCCTTAATAGGTCTAAGACATCAAAATGCTTCAGGAGACACAAGCCCCTCCTCCTACCAGACTTGCCAACCCAGAGAAAGCAACTGCTCTCAATACATGTCCACCTACAAAGAATTCAAACTTCTCACCTCTTTATATTCTTTTTTTTTCTTCAGAAAGATGAAAAGTAGTTCTAAAAACTCAATGATTACAGAAAACACCTATGTAACATTAGATTCTCAGCAGTGAATAGAGGGTTCTAACTACGTCCACCTGAGAATGCCTGCTAGCTAACTTTCTGAAATGTCACAACCTCTTCTTCAATGGGAGGTCTGTTGTCTGTAGAACTGGTTTCCATCTGGCACCAGGTATCCACACAGCTCCTTGTTTTCATCATTTAACTGAATCCATGAATTGAGTCTGTCTTCAGTCTCTTCTTTCCTGATAGTCACCTGCCTATAAAAATGCATTTGGCTGCTGAAGATAGCCAACAAAACAGGTATACCATTCCCTGCTAAGAAAGGACTGAATTTCATTCATTTTAGTCAGTATCATTAAGGATTTAAATGTATGTTTTTCCTCTTACAAACCTCAGTTTCAGTATCAACAGACATTCTCAAGGCTTGCTGAAGTAACACCTGTAGCAGCCCAACAAAACTGACTTTTACCCATTGCAGATCTATTACAACTAGGTGATAACAAACATCAGAAACAAGAAAGGCTGGATATATTAAGGACCACATAAATTTCTTCTGTTTTAGGTCCTTTAAATATTCAGTTATGAATGTTAACAACCTGCTAATTTAATTCTCACTCAAACCTTTCCCCTTTTTAAAACTAATCAAAAACTTACATTGTTAAGACCAATGTCCCCTTTTGATTTAATTTCTAATCCCATCATGCTGTATATCAACCATTTATAATACAATGCACCAGGAATAATAAAGCCATATACATGATGGAGTATTAAAACAAAGAAAAACAAAACCTAAACCAATGTCCACCACTCATTTGATCCTACACTTCAAATGGTATTGCGTAGCTTTTGCATGGAAATCATAGAAATGTTAACCCAATCCAGTCTGTTCTACACAGGGTGATGCAAAATATCCAATGCTTCATTGTTTACAAACAACTCTAGCAAGCAGGTTTCAGCACAGAATCATCCTCCTTACAAGGTTAAATGGGTTACTCTAATAAACTTAACAGTAAATAATACAATTAAGCCTAGATAAACGTACAAAGGATTCTGAGGTCTTAAAAGTCTTGAAATACATTCAGTAAAAATGGGGCCACAGAAGGTCTTTGGTAAACTGTTAACACCCACTTCATAGAGTGAAGTGTTACATACAAAACTTCCCCAAGTTTTTCACAGAGATGCAAATGTCCCAAAATGTAGCACCAGCTACACAGACAAACCTGTTTACAGGCTTGATTGAAAGTCTATCCATAGAAAATCAAGCTTTTTGTTTCCATTCTTCTAACACACATTTTAGCTTTGACATCTATGGCCTTTCAGAATCCAGATTCCTAATTAATCTCACAATGGCTTTACAGTCTCCTTTACCTAAGCTTTTAGAGAACTTTTCAAGTATTCCAAGCACTTTCCTGTGTGTAAAACTTGAATAAAGAACTTCAGAGGACATTTCAAAATGAGATGATGAAGTACATTGTCATCTGAATTGTATGTATTTTCATTTTGTTTGTTTTGTTTTGTTTTAGCTTTAAGTTGGTTGTAGAATTTGGACTCAGTACCTGGGAGATGTCCATGAACTTATTTTTCCTTTTTTTATTGTGGCATGAACATTTTTTTCTCAAGGCTAGAGCTCTACCATTTTCAGCCACAGGGCAACTTCCACTGAATGGTGTGTTCTTTAAAATCTTTAAGACTACTTGAAACCTTCAATTTGTCTTCATCTCATCACTGACATAAACTGTCTACCACTCTAACCAGGATTCTATCCTGGGTAGCAGTTAGCAGCTGAATATTCCTACCATTTGAGTTCAAGGAGCTGATTTGATCATTCCAAAAAGTTTAAAATCTCCAGCTCTTCTAAGTAAAGATTTCATTGTATGTGAATATATTTACCAATGTAAAAGCCCCCATGCTTAGAGGAGCCAAGTAAGACTCCTATTGTTAGACTCACATTACTTGCTGGCCAAGCAAGAGACCAGCAGAGGTTTCCTACAGCAGATACATTACACGCCACCATCTATCCAGCGAAAGTTGAGCTCCACTACAACCCAACCCTTTAAATTTCTGCCTGTTTAAAATCATTTTCAATAAGTTCCTTAACAGTGTGCAAACTTGCAGCAGCCAGCACTGTGGAAAACAGGGGTTGTTTCTGTGAAGCATGTTGCTGTTTTCTAAACTTCAGAATGTAAAGGAACAATGGAGGAGCAGTAATCCCACTGAACAGGGCCTCAAGTTTAACAAAATTAAAGCTCCTTTCTAATATTGGCATTTGGTACATTGCAGCCTCCTATGGGCAGATGACTGACTTCCTCACAGGAGAGGCCCTCCCATGATCTGTTCAAATGTACCACCATTTCTCCAAAATGTGCTGCTCAAGTTGTTTTTCAGTTTCAATTTCCTTCAAATTCAGAGCCCAGTGAGCCAAGGATTGCTCTAGTTCCTGGAACACAAGTAAGAAGGTTTAGAAAGAGTCTTCAAGTCAAACTACTACTGTTCCCAAACCTGTAAGCTCATCCTTATTAGACACAAGGGGAGGGGATCAGCCAAGGAGAGGGACCTTAGGAAAGAGAAACAGCCCTGGCCTCCTGAAGACCTACCTAGTTGGCCAGCTTCAAACCACCTCACCCTCAAAAGAACATTCTTTTATATTCCCTTTTCATTACCTCAGTTACCTCTATAATATTTATACACGTCACAGAGGATAGTGAGTTAACAGTTTAAATTTAATAATCTTACACATATTTCTAAGATGATATAAAAGGTGACACCTCATTTTAACAAACTGAGGAATGCATTGTTACTAAAGTAGTCATCACATGACAATCTCCCTTCTATCAGAGTTATTTTTTGTCTCACTTTCTAAATGATAGTGTAAGGAATGAAACAGAGTGTGATAATTAGTACAGATTAATTAGCAGAAAATTTCTTCTGGCGGTGGAAATATCTTCTATTTGTCTGTTTATCTAGGTGGTGGCTATCAAACCCAGACTCTCAGGTAACCTAGGTTAATTATTACTTGCCATATCTGGGGGTTATTTTGTCTTCCAAGCAGTTAAAAATTTTAGGCTGATTCTGGTGCTTGAATTTAGGGCCTGAACATTATCCCTAACCTTTTTGCTTAAGACTAGTACTCTCTCACTTGAGCCACAGCTCTACTTCCACATTTTTGTTGTTTTTGGGAGATAAGCCTCAAATTTTTCCTCCCTAGGGCCCACTTTGAAGCAAGATTCTTACATTTCAGCCTCCATTGTAGCTGGGATTACAGCCTTGAGCCACCAGCATCTACATTATGTTTTTTAAAAGAATCTTCCAACAATAATAGGAGACAACTATTGCTATCACTATATGGTCAGACCTATAATCCTAGCTAATTAAGAGATTGAGATCTATGGCTCATGGTTTAAAGCAAGACTGGTCAGATAAATCAGAGTTTTGTTTTCTGTTAATCTACTGGTGCTGGGGCAGGAAGTCAGGACCTGAGCACTGTCCCTGGGCTTCTTTTCCTAAAGGAAAGTGCTTTACCATTTGAGTCACACAGTATAATGACCAGTTTTTCTGATGCCCAGAGTAGCTTCTAACTATGATTTTCAGATTTCAGCCTCCATAGGCTGAAAAGAATCTCTAATAATTACCATCAATTAGCCAGTAAAAAAGCCAGACTAAAGGTGTAGCTTAAGTGGTAGAGTACCAGCCTTGGGTGGAAAAAGCTAAGAGATACTGTGTGATCCCCAGGATGAAAAAAAGATAAAAATACTAAATTACATCAGAAGATGGATAAAATTTAGTAACCAACATAGTTTCAAGAGTAACTTCAGTGTCTGTATTGTGTATTAAGTAGCAGAATGTGTTCTTTCTTCTATACACCAGGATCTGAGTACAGTCCCCAGGGTTGTTCAAAGCACACCTAACAAAAAAGCACCCAAAAACTATATATAATAAAACATATAAAATACTACATAAAGAACATTAAACATTCCAAATAATTGAAATATAGCTAAATGAGAACAATGACACAATCATAAACAGGAATACTGAGTATAAAGAAGATATTATTTTCTGTCAAAGAAATCTAAACCTTGAATGCAATTTTCTGAAGTCTTATCAGAATTTTTCATAGTTCCAAGGCTGGATAGGTTAGGGAAAATAATACCTAAGGAATGGCGGCCAGGAACACAGATAGAAACAAGAAAATTAGACACATAAAAGCACTATCTTGTTTGCTTCTAAATACAGTCTTTCTGAGAAGCAACAAGATGCATTCTTCGTCATAAGGATAAGCAACTCTTTATGGAAAAATCCATTTTCTTGGAAGACATGCACTAAAGAGTATGTCACACAATAAACAAGAACTCAAAAAGCATAACACCAGGAATGATTAAGAGCAAAGATAAACACCTCTCTGCATGAGTTTATGACTCACCTTGCCTTTATCATAAAAATATTCCTTCTGTCAAAGAGTTCTGTGTCAATCCCTTTGAGAGCACCCACATTGCATTTCAGTGTACATACCTCTGTCTATCTGCATGTCTGCTTGTCTGTTTATCTGTTGGTTTGCTTGCCCAGTAAAGCTCTGTCAAGATTTCTTACTATGGTGACTTTTCTGGAAATTCTTATTCTGTGACCAAAGTCAAGGACCCTGGGTCAAGACTAGCTACTCCTAGAGGGAAACTTCACAAACTCTCACCTGGAGCCAGTGACAGTTGCTTCTCAAAGTTAAAAGCTGGGTGTGAGTGTAGCTCAGTCGTAGAGCATTGGCCTCACATACAGGAAAGCCTGGGTTTCATCTCCAGTGAAGAATGTTGGGAGAGATTTTCAAAGATCAAAGATTCAAAGAATGTGGAAGAACAAATCTGGGGACACAAAACACTTGAAATGAAGATTTGTTATAATAAAGCATTGTAACCAAGACAGTCTGATATTAAACCTGAAGAAACACAATAAGAAAATTGTTTTAAGATAGGGGAAACAAGCCTGTGTGGGAACCGGAGATCTGACACTAGACTACCAAATAAAAAGCCACTAGGAGAATTATCTCTCTATATGAGAAAGGTAAACCTTTTCTTAAAGTCTTTGCAAACAACTCCTAGAACCAAGTAAAGTGGCAAAATTAGAATACAACACTTGTAATCTTTGAAAAGGAAATGAAAGTGTGTTTTAAGTATGGAGATGTATTTCCCAAAGGAAATGCAAATAGGAAATATATATATGAAAATGTCATTACATTTGTCTATATTACAACATTTTCCTTAATTCAGTCAAGACAAAGTAGAAAAGGTGCTCTCCTAAGGCTGAAGATATTTACAAAGTATGCATTCAATACAGTAGTATTTCAGTCAAGAAGATGACAAATAGATCAACACATGATTGAACGAATAGTGAAAGTTAAAAATATATACAATACCAAATGAATAGAAAAAGGGATGTATATGTATATATATGGATGTGGCTATGGATACAAACAACATCCTTATGCCAAATGCATATAGAATACCAAAAGTTATCAACAGCACTGACTCAAAATCATGATGAAAAGTTGCATATATAATATGTGGTATATTGCACATTTATTATGCAGTATCATCATTGTGATGTTTTTATTACACTGGGAAATTTTGAAGTAAGAAAAAAGGGATAAGCAAAAATCAATGGCTTTTCTGTATTCCAACAATGATAAAAGTGTGGCTGAAATTAGGAAAGCAACTCCATTTGTAATAGCCCCACAAAAAATAAAATACCTAGGAATTAACTTAAC